GATTCCCAAGAAGCCAAATCCATCAAGAATGACAGATCTACGCCCCATCAGTTTATGCTCGGTTATTTACAAGATTGTATCCAAAATTCTGTGTAATAGGCTGAAGTGTTTTCTACCATCGATTGTTTCAGACACTCAAGGTGCGTTTGTCTCGGGCAGATTAATTTCTGATAATATTCTCTTGGCTCATGAGATGATACATGCCCTCCGTACAAACTCCAACTGCGATGAAGATTTTATAGCCATTAAAACTGATATGTCTAAGGCTTATGATCAGTAGAGTGGAATTTTTTGGAAGAATTACTTATAAGATTAGGCTTTGATATGCGGTGGGTACAATGGACCATGAGCTGTGTTTGATCAGTTTCATACTCGGTGCTCATCAATGGTGCATCGTATGGATATATAAAACCGGAGAGAGGCATTCGTCAAGGCGACCCGCTATCCCCATTTCTATTTATTTTGTGTGCTGAAGCTTTAGTCCACATTATGAATAAAGCAGAACAAGAAGGCAGATTAACAGGTTTGCGACTTACACCAAACTGCCCATCAATTCAACACCTTTTATTTGCCGATGACAGCTTTTTCCTTTGTCGAGCTACCTTCAAAGTATGTTCTGAATTTCTGGGCTGTTTACGGTTATATGGGGAAGCCTCGGGTCAAGAAATTAATTTTCAAAAATCAGCTATAACCTTCGGACGGAAGATGGATCCTTATATGAAACGTTTACTTGGTCTTTTCACTGGGATTGAGCAAGAGGGAGGAACTGGTAAGTACCTTGGACTTCCCGAATGCTTTAGTGGTTCAAAACGTGAGCTTCTCGGCTTCATTACGGATCGCTTAAAATCTCGTTTAAGTGGATGGTATGAGAAAACATTATCCTTGGGAGGCAAAGAAGTGCTCATTAAATCGGTTGCGTTAGCACTACCCGTCTATGCGATGTCATGTTTTCGGTTGACAAAACATCAATGCCAGAAGATCACCAGCGCTATGTCTAATTTTTGGTGGAATGAAAGTGAAGAGAAGCATAAGATGCATTGGGTTTCATGGGACAAGATTTGCAAATCTAAAACACAAGGCGGGCTAGGTTTTAGGGACATCGGTCGTTTTAACCAAGCACTACTTGCTAAACAAGCCTGGAGACTGTTGGATGCTCCTAATTCTTTACTTGCCAGAGTATACAAAGCTCGATATTACCCACAAAAATCTATTCTCGAGGCAACAACCGGGTATCGCCCCTCTTATGCATGGAGAAGTATTGTTTTTGGTAAGGAGCTGTTGGAACGGGGTCTCATGAAGACGATTGGAGATGGGCAGATAACAAGTATATGGGCGGATAAATGGCTTTTTGATGAAGCACCGCGTCGGCCAATCAATAAGGAGTTGTTCATTGATTTAAATCTCAAAGTGTCAACACTGATCACACCACATGGTGGCTGGAATACAAAGCTCTTAAACCAACTTTTCCCACCGTGTGATATTATTCAAATCAGATCTTTCCCACCTGCACCGAGCCTACCGGATAGATTTGTATGTGCATACACAAGAGATGGTCAGTACTCGATAAAAAGTGGTAACTGGTTAGTCAACAAAGAAGCTACAGCAATGGATTTTGTTTCTGCGGAGGCGGTGACTTTAAACAAAATCAAGGAACGAGTTTGGAAGATACATGCTGCTCCGAAAATACGACTTTTCATGTGGAGAGCTTTATCTAGAGCCCTTGCCGTTGCAGATTGTTTACGGAGCCATGGTTTGTCAGTGAACTCTCAATGTCAATTATGTCAAGATCAGGAGGAAACCATAGCTCATGTTCTTTTTGGTTGCACTATGGCAATATCGGTTTGGCAGCTCACCTAGTTACCATCTCCGTCTCAGGGTTTCACGGAATCTATAGCGGAGAATTTCTTTTTTCTTTTGGATTTGATGGTTAAATCTGAGATCCTTGCAAATATACGGACTGCTATTCCTTGGATATTGTGGGAAATATGGAAAGCAAGAAACTCCCAAGTTTATGCGGCGAAAGATGTTGATAGGAACATTCTGCTTGCTAAAGCTTTAGAAGATGCAGAGGAATGGATCTTGCAGAATGCATTAACTACTTCAGATCTTGTGAATGCGCAGCATCGACAGCCAAGGATTGAGACTAGGTGGTCTGAACCAGCATGGGGAAAACTTAAATGTAATTTGCATGCCTCTTGGACAAAGGATATTCATCACTGTGGTGGCGCGTGGTTGCTACGCAATCATGTTGGGGATGTTGTTTTACATGCTCGGGATGCCTTTCTTCCAATGTTCAATAGGGTAGCTGCGGAATTACATTGCATTTGTTGGTGTTTACAAAGCCTCCATCAGGTTCATATGGATTCTTGTGAGGTTTGGTCCGATTGCACAGCAGCTATACGTGCTTTAGCTCAATCGGATGACTGGCCAAAATATCGTTCCATTCTTAATAAAATAACCCAGGTAAAACAGGTGATGTGGGATGTGTCTTTCCACATTTCTTCACCGAAAGCCAATCTTTTGGCTAGTGATATTGCATGCAGTGTCACTCGGGATGGACGGTATAACTCCTACTTGGCGAGTGGAGGACCAGCTTGGTTACATAATAGGATTGAGGATGAACGGCGACGCAGCATCTAAGCTTTCACGGGATCGTCATCAGCTTCGCTACGTTTGAGACGCCGGGCTATGGATTGTTTTGCTCTTGGTTTTTTCGCACGTCCTTTACTCCAATTTTGCATTGCTCTGTTTTGGTTTTGGTTTGAACACCCTCTGTTATTAAACTCTGTTTTATTATATTGCAATGAAAGACGTTAAAAAAAAAAAGGGAGCATAAGATTCTCTGATGTCGGTTGATTATTCTAGAGTGGTTAAAATTTGTCCAAACATGCAGTTGGGTTGCTGAATTAAAGTTTTGGCTTTTAACGCATCTCCTTTGAGTGATTTCGATATGTTAAGAAAAGTTACTTGGCCTTACTTTGTAGCTATAAGTTCACATAAAATAATTAAAATGAAGCAATTACTTCTCAAAAACCACATTATCATTGTTAACATAGAATAAAACTTGAGCATGTGATACATGACTTTGTTAATAAACACACAAGCACTTGACATGTGAGATGAACAAAGCTGATGAAAACTAGCATCCCTACTGAGTATTCATCGTCTTTTTTTCTTTAGAAGTGAAGCAGCTCGAAGAAACAACATAGTCTGGGGACTTATCATCATTCTACTCACCTTCTGATTTAGCCTTCCCCGGAGCCCCAAAGTTTTCGTTTTCTGTTGTTGTTTATCACCGGGAATATCTCAAACTCTTTGTGTACTTTTATAATTTATAATTTTTTAGGAATAAAATTATTTCACAAAAACTTTGGGTATTATTTGAACAATTTTATAAATTTTAGGGTTTTTTAGTCATTTTCTTGAAAACCTATTTTTGTTCGTCTATATTTAGCATAAAGAAAACATAAAACCCTAAGAAACAGTAAAGCAAACATAAAACCCTAAACAACAATCAAAGCCACCGGCACTTCCTTCATTCGGAGATCGCAATGATGACGCCGGAACTTCCAGAAGATTTGTTAGAGGAGATACTCTGCCGCGTTCCGGCTACATCTTTGAAACGGTTACGGTGTACTTGCAAACTATGGAACAGTTTATTCAACGATAAGAGATTCACAAGAAAACACTTTCGTAAAGCCCCAAGGCAATCTCTGATTCTCATGTTGAAGAATTTTGGGTTATCTTCGATGAGCATCAATCTCCACAGAGGTCACTGGTGAACTTAACCTAGTCGACCCTCATTCTAGTTTAAATCTATTCAAGATCTATCAAAGCTGTAAAAGTTCAGACGGCTTATTGTTATGCGTCAACAACATGGAGGGAAGTACTAGGCTCGTGGTATGGAACCCGTGTACTGGTCAAACCAAGTGGATCCAACACAGAAAGATAGGCTACTTCTGCACCTATTCTCTTGGATCCTACCAAGACAACAAATCCGGAAATAATAGCTACAAAATATTGAGCCGTAGGATTAATGGTTACCCAGAATTCGAAATTTATGAGATTAACTCAAATTCATGGAGGCATCTTGATGTCACTGTGGACTGCACCTTTATGTACCTTCAAAACGTGTCTTTGAAGGGAAAGACTTACTGGTTTGCTAGAGATGAAAAAGAGAAACAGCTTGGCTTAATCTTAATGATCAGTTTTGATTATACAACAGAAAGATTTGAACGTCTACATCTTCCGTATAAGTAACCTGATTTTCGAAACATTGATTTTTCTGTTGTTAGAGACGAGAAACTTTCCGTGTTATTACAACGCAACCTTACATCGAAGACAGAAATATGGGTGACAAATAAGATTGGTGAGACCAAAGTGTTGTCTTGGATCAAGGTCTTAACGGTGGATTTGAAGCCTGAGCTTAGAGATGGCATAAAATTCTTGGTCGATGAGGAGAAGAAAGTCCTCGTGTGTACTCAAAATAATGGATACAAAAGGCAAACTATGGTATACATCGTTGGAGAGGACAACAAAGTTAGGGAAGTGGCTTTTGGAGACGAATTCAAACCATTTTGGTTGAATTATGTTCCAAGTTTGACTCAAATCCAGCAAGGTGATGATTAAGCTACAAGAAAACCTTTTTTGGTTTTTGGCTTTTCTTAACTTGTTTATTTCATTTTCTCTCAGTCATGTCCTTTGAATACTTAATAAACAGATATTCACTAAAAAAATACTATTTGACATGTATTCATTGCTTTGTAATTACCACAGTTTTAGGTTTTATGATCAATGTTTCCTTACATCAAAAAGAGTTATGTTTACATGTGACAAAGTCAAGAAGTTTGAATATTTCTGCTAGGGTTGTGGAATGAAGCCTCTATCTCACGACATGACTAATTCATGTAGTGAAACCAGAATCTGAAAACTAAACTAAAACTAAACGGCCAAGGATTCACTTATAAGAAACATTTCGTGCTTAAGTTGTAATTTCATGGAGCAGTGTGGTGAGCACAAAGCAAACTATTCTTTCGCCTTTTACTAAAGAATACCGTGTGCTCTCCACATTTAACGGCATACACCTATTTTTGGAGGAGTACGTAACTTCTTCTGAAAGTTTGCTCCATTAATCTCATAGTTCAATCTTTAACACTTTGTTGCTTTATCGGTTTTGTAGCTAATTAAGGTGACGAATCCTCAAGGATTGAGGCTGATCAGTGGTGTGTATATATAGAGAGCTTAAGTTATAAATTCATGGAGCAGTGTGGTGAGCACAAAGTGAGGAGTTACTTCCTCTGAAGAATACTTCCTCTTAAGTTTTAGCCCTTTACTAAAGAATACCGTGTGCTCTCCACTTCAAACGGCATACAACTATTTTTGGAGGAGTTACTTCCTCTGAAGTTTTCTCCATTAAGCTCTTAGTTCAATCTTTTTCAAATTTCTTAATTGGCTGCATCATACAATTTTTTAATTGTGATAAAAACACGCATTTAATTTAGCATGCGGTAAATAACAGATAGAAGAAACATGAATATTGTATAAGACATACGCATGTAAACACTCATACCAAGTCCGAGGGGCTTGCTTTAAGCCATATAATTAAGGCTTTTCGTAGCCTTAGAAATTTTTCTTCTTCACCTTCTACGATGAATCCAGGTGGTTGTGGGACGTAAATCTCCTCTTCGAGTTCTCCATTTAGAAACGCCGACTTTACATTCATTTGATAAAGCTTCCACTTCATTTGTGCCGCAAGAGCAAGAATGGCTCGAACTTGTTGGTCGGTTGTACCATTTCGGTTTATGTTGTTTAACTCGAGAGGCACAAGTAGGAAGAGACACAACTCTTCACGTGTTGTGTCTATTTGTTTTCTATTTAAACCTATTGTATTGTCATGTAAATAATAACAAGTTTCAGTTTAATCAAAACTTTTCTATTTCGTTCTTGTCTTCTTTAAAAGAAAAGAGATATTATTTATTACTCTATTTCTTCATTTTCCCTCAATTATCCAACAGAACTGTGTCATGTGTTGAGACGGGTGCAAATGTCTCAAGATTATCAACACCGTATTCTTGAGAAACCCCTCTTGCGACTAACCTTGCTTTATACTTGAATGGAACTCCATTTGCATCAGTTTTGATGCGATATATCCATTTCACGCTAATGACGTTTTTCTTTTCCGGTTTCTCCACGAGTGACCACGTTCTGTTTTTCTCAATCATCTAGTTTTCTTCACTCATGACATCTCACCATTCCTTAACTACACACTCGTCATCATAGGATTGAGGTTCTTCAGAGACCGCAAAACATGCTTCTGTTTCGTCGAGATCCACCATTGGAGCAATATGCATAATCTTAGCCATTGACTTGTATTTCTTTGGTGGTGTCGAAGATCCTTCTCCTCCTTGATTAATATCTTGGTCATCCAATTGAGACAAAACAGGACTTGAGATGATTTTTCTTTGTTCTTTTTCTGATTGAGAAACACTTATCGGTGTACTGAAGTTCTTTTTGACTTCGACTCGTCTTACCCAATCCCACTTCTTTCTTTCTTCAAATGCCACATGTCTAGATATCTCAAATTTCTCCTAATCAAGTAGGAGTACTCTGTATCCTTTGGATTTGCTGCTGTAGCCAATGAAAATTCCTCTCTTGGCCTTTTCGTCTAGCTTACTTCTCTTCTCCTATGGCTTATGACCACTCCACTTTTCGATCAGTGTGACATCATCGATCTTCTATTGCCTTTAAAGGCAAACAATTTTGCAAATAATTTGACGTATATAACGCCTCTGCGCATAGCTTGTGAGAAAGACCTTGGTCTGCAAGCAAGGTTCGTGCCATCTCCATCGAAGATCATTCATACGTTCCATAACGCCGTTTTGCTGCAGTGAGCATGGCACAGTTACTTGTCTCTCGATCCCTCCTTTATCACAAAACTCATTGAATTCACTTGAAGTAAATTCACCACCACCATCAGATCGAAGCCTTTTGATCCTTTTAACCCGGTTGTGTTTCCACCAAGGCTTTGAACTTCTTAAACATTGGAAAAACTTGAGTCTTTGTTTAAGAAAGTATACCACGCCATGTGAGTATAGTCATCTACAAACAACAAGAAGTATCTACTTCCATTAAGAGAAACAATTTGCATTGGACCACAAACATCGGTGTGAACAATTTCAAGTTTCTCCTTTTTCTTTGTTTGAGACTCCTTTGGAAACACTTCTTGTACTTGCTTTCCAAGTTTGCATACTCCACAGATTTCTTTGTTTACATAGAACTTTGGTAATCCATCCACCATTTTCTTGTTTTGCATTTGTTCCATCCTTGAATTACCCACATGGCCTAGTCTTCTGGGTTGCTATACCAAAATCATTATTTTCAACGAAATGACAAGAAACTTAACCTTATTTTGGAGCTTTACGTTAACATTAAAATTTTAAAATTGAGGCAAAGATTACTTCTCCTAACCACATCCAGAGCCGGCCCTTGGGCCAAACAGGCCAAGCATGGGCTTGCGGCCGATAATAATAACATTAAACTATGGCCTATTTTTGTTAAAAGTTCATATAGTCCAGCGGTTTCCATACACTCTAATTGTCACTATTTCCCGGCTTTGAACTTCCAAAGCAACAAAGATGTTTTATTTTTTTATTTTTCGTGATAACAGTTCAATTAAAAAGAAAATTATATGCAAAGCTTTTTTTTTTTGGCTTGTAGCCTTCCAAAGGTTAGTGCCGGCTCTGACCACATCTTATCAATGTGCTATCACAGAATTAAAGCTTTGAGCATGCTAAGAAAGAAGACATACTTGTGACTTTGTTAAACAAAGCCTTACTTGTACCAAATGTGATTATTCATCGTCTTATTTAAAAGTGAAGTAGCTAGCCCGAAGAAACATCTTATATACTTCATCAAAGTTTGGGGACTTATCATTCTCCTCACCTTCTGATTTAGCCTTCCCTGGATCCCCAGAGTCTTCGTCTTTTATGATGTTTATCCCTGGAAATTTCTCAACTCTTCAAAAAAATCCGCTCTGCCTTCTCATCTTTTGATTCCAAACCAGTCTCAAAAATATCCCAAAGATCTGAATCCGTCATTAGATTAATGACGTTTTATTTTTCTAATTATTTTTTAAACAAGTTTGAAGTATAAAGTAGAGTCATTTTTCATAAACTCAAAAACGTGAGAACTTATGAATATTTTGAATGATAAAAAATAGCGGAATCACACATGTTTTGAAGTGTAAAACGGTTCATCGGCGTTATTTAATTTAAATTTTCTGAGAAATAAAACGATTTTACAAAAACTTTGGGTACTATTTGAACAATATTATAAATTAAGGTATTTTAGTCATTTTCTCTAAACTTTATTTATTCGACTTCGTCTCTATATATTAAGAGTGAGCATAAAGAAAACATAAAACCCTAAACAACAATCAAAGCAACCGGCACTATCCTCCTTCGGAGATCACAATGATGATGCCAGAACTTCCAGAGGATTTATTAGAGGAGATACTCTGCCGCGTTCCGGCTACATCTTTGAAACGATTACGATCTACTTGCAAACGATGGAACCTTTTATACAACGATAAGAGATTCACAAGAAAACACTTCCATAAAGCCCCAAGACAATCTCTGATTCTCATGTTTAATAATTTTGGGGTTTCTCCACAGAGTTTCACGTGAACTTAACTTAATTGACTCTAATTCTAGTTTAAATCACTTCAGGCACTATCAAAACTGTCACAGTTCAGATGGCTTATTGTTATGCGTGTGTGTCAACAACAAGGTGGAAGGTACTAGGCTCGTGGTATGGAACCCGTGTACTGGTCAAACCAAGTGGATCCAACACAGAAAGATAGGCTACACCTACACCTATGCTCTTGGATCTTACCAAGATAACAAATCTGGCAATAAGAGCTACAAAATATTGAGCCGCAGGTTTTACGGTCACCAAGACCTAGAATTCGAAATTTATGAGATTAACTCAAATTTATGGAGGAGGATCCTTGATGTCAATGTGGACTGCACCGATATGTACATTCGGAACGTGTCTTTGAAAGGAAAGACTTACTGGTTTGCTACAGATGAAAAAGAGAAACAACTCGGCTTATTCTTAATCAGTTTTGATTATACAACAGAAAGATTTGAACGTCTATGTCTACCTTATCCGCATCCATATCATGGTTATCAAAACGAGTCTCTATCTGTTGTTAGAGAAGAGAAACTTTCCGTGTTATTACAACGTACATTTACGTCGAAGACAGAGATATGGGTGACAAATAAGATTGGTGAGACCAAAGTGTTGTTGTGGATCAAGGTCTTAGCGGTGGATTTGACGCCTGCGCCCAAATTTGACGTGTTATTCTTGGTCGATGAGGAGAAGAAAGTCCTCGTGTATACTCAAAATAATGGATACAAAAGGCAAACTATGGTATACATCGTTGGAGAGGACAACAAAGTTAGGGAAGTGGCTTTTGGAGACGAATTCAAACCATTTTTGTTGAATTATGTTCCAAGTTTGACTCAAATCCAGCAAGGTGATGATTAAGCTACAAGAAAAACTTTTTTTGTTTTTTGGTTTTTCTTAACTTGTTTATTTCACTATTATCTCAGTCATGTCCTTTGAATACTTAATAAACAGATATTTCACTAAAAAAATACTATTTGCCATGTACTCCTTGCTTTGTAATTACCACAGTTTTAGGTTTTATGATCAATGTTTCCTTACATAAAAAAAGAGTTATGTTGACATGTGACAAAGTCAAGAAGTTTGAATATTTTTGCTAGGGTTGTGGAATGAAGCCTCTATCTCATGACATGACTAATTCATGTAGTGAAACCAGAATATGATCACATTCCTCCCAAGAACTTTTGGAAATGGATCGGTAAAGCTACCGATGTATTTTTTTAAAAGAAATTTTCACGTTTCTAACGAAAAAAAGATTTTCTCTCAGCCTTTGGCAAAGTGAGAATTGGTTCTCATGTTTTGACAATTTAGCCAAATTCTGAGCATTTTACCCCTGCTAGCGTAACGACGTACTGTTCCGTGTACGGTTCAATTATGCGGTTCAGTTAGGTACACTGTTCCGGTTAGGCTAAGATAATTTCGTTTTTTTAATGTTTTGTGCGGCTGTACAGTGAAAAGGGGGATTAATAACATTAAAAAACAAAGTGACATCAATATTTAATGCCAAAAAAGTTTAGACATGACTCTTGTCACAATTAATGCAAAGCTCATCATTACTTTTTGTAATATTAGTTTATACACTAGATTTTAACCCGCGGTATACCGCGTGATGATTTAATTTCAAAGTTAGTATAAAAATATTTTGTAAATTGTATCTCCTTATAACATATTTATTTATATTATAGTTTACAATTATTATTAAGTAACGGTATACCCCG